CGGACTACACGGGCCAGGACTTGAGTAACGTCGCTGCCACGTCCGTCAACCAGTGCTGCGCGGCTTGCCTCGCTGTCGCCAACTGCAACGCCTACAGCTTCAAGGCCAACGTCTGCTACCTCAAGAGCGGCAGCAGCAACCAAGTGTCACTTCCCGGTGTCACGGCCGTCGCGCTCTACCGCTGCTCGGCACCGGAGCTCGGCGTCGACTATGTCGACAACGACATTGGCAATGTGGCGTCGCCATCGTACATGCGCTGCTGCGAGCTGTGCCGCAACACGGCCGGGTGCCATGCGTTCTCGTGGGCCAGCGGCGTGTGCTACTTGAAGAGCGCCAAGGGTGCGATGACGAACGCAGCCGGTGTCATCTCGGCCACGGTGCTCTAGCTTCGTCTGGCGTCCACGCCCGCTTCCGACTGTTTGCCTCTCTTAACTCTTGACGTGAGACCTCAATCCATGCATACGTAGCGTACTTGTTGTGTTGTTGCAGTCTCTCGCCGGCGTGGCAAATGGATCTTCTGCAGTGGTTGCAAGGTCGAGTTGAGATTGATTTTTGAGTTTTGAGATCACACGACTACATTCCGAAAGGCAAAGGGAGAGCGAGCAGCTCAATCTCAAAACTCAAATGACCCGGATCTTTGTATCGACTTTAAAAGGTTTTGCAATCGGAATATCGAAAAAAAGGTTTTTCAGGTTTACAAGAAATCTAGCAGATCCTGCGACGATGGAAGAAGGAAGCATGGCGATGGCACCGGCCGAGATCATGCTGGACGCGGTCCGCGCGGAAGAGGCCTGGACAGGCGTCGAGCTGCTCGTCTGCGCAGTGCTCCAGCTGCTCCTCGTCTTCCTCGGCTACCGACTCGACCGCGCGACGACCCACACCATGATGATCCCCGAGTCGGCGTATGCGATCGTCTTTGGCCTCTGCGTACGCTCGCTCTCGCATCTTCCTGCGACGCTCGCTTCATGGACATGCGTGTAGTTTGGCGCCGTGCTCAAGTTTTGCACGCCCGTCGACAAGATCGGGCTCAACCCGCAGGTCCTCTTCTTCGGGTAGTCCCTCTCGCCCTCTCTCGACGTATGTTTCTACATGCATGTGCCTAGCCTCTTGCCGCCCATCATCCTCGAAGCGGGCTTTAGCATGAAGAAGCGTGTACGCTGCCCGTGCCATATATGGTCGCCATGCAATTTTGGTGTAGGGTTTCTTCACCAACTTTTCGACCATCTTGCTGCTCGCGATCGTCGGCACGCTTGTGGCGACGTTCATCACGGGCGGGCTCTTGATCTGGCTCGGGCAGCTCGGGCTCATCACGGCGCTGACGCCGGCCGAGGCGTACCTCTACGGGTCGCTCATCTCGGCCGTCGACCCCGTCGCGACGCTCTCGGTCTTCAAGAAGAACGACGCACCGCCCATGCTCTTCAACCTCGTCTTTGGTGAAAGCGTCCTCAACGACGGCGTTGGTACGATTTTCTGCAATTTTCTGCGATTTTCTGCAATTTTCTGCAATTTTCTCGGATGTCCTTAAGTTTTGGCCTAGCGATTGTGGTTTTTACACTCTTCCAAGAGTTTATTCGCCATGGCATCAGCGACGTCGACCACCACGCAGCGCTCATGGTCGTGCTCAAGGTCATCGCCATCGGCATTGGCTCGGTAGCGCTCGCGGCCGCCGTGTGCTTTATCTCGGCCTTTATGCTCAAGGTAGTCGTCGCATCCCTCGTATACTTTACGACCTGTGCGGATCTAGATTGCCGACCCGATGCTGCAGCAGTACCCGCACTATGAGATCTCGATCGTGCTTCTCTCGGCCTACATTAGGTAATACGTCGTGTGTCCTGGCGACCGAATACTCTCAACGTGGTCGCTAGCTACGTGGTCGGCGACCTCGCGGGTCTCTCGGGCATCGTCGCGCTCTTCTTCTCCGGCGTCCTCATGAGCCATTACCACTTGACCAACATGTCGCAGGAGAGTGCGACCGCGCTCAAGCATCTCTTGTCGACGCTCGCGTTTCTGGCCGAGAACTTTATCTTTCTGTACCTCGGCGTCTCGGTCGTGGCCTGTACGACGGCTCTCTTGCGCTCTCCCGTACGACTCTCTTTTGGTGCTATTAGACTCGTCGTCGTTCAAGTGGGACTGACGTGGCGCAGGCCGCGCAGCACCGACTGCATCTTCTCGGTCTGCAGGACCGGGTTGGGCCGGACGCAGGCGCGCTTGGTCGCTGCATGCTGCTGCTGCTGGTCGTTGTCGTCCTGGCTCTTGTCGTCCTCGAGGAGCCGGCGCTTCTTGAGCTGCAGCAGCGCCATGGTCGATATCGAGAATGAAGGCCACCGAATCACCGTGGGGGCGGCGCCGACCATCACTCGGGCGCCCGCCGCCCACAAAGAACATGCGCGCAAGCTTCCCGATTGGCTGCATCTTTCCCAGTATCGTCTCAATTGAGTCGCACAACCAAGCCAACGTCAGTGATGGTCTGACAATCCACTCGCGACCGCTGCGAAGAAGATTGTGGCGATATATGGAACGTGGGTAGCAGCCAACGAGGCGCCGACTATTGGGATGACGTCGTTTCAATTGCCGTGAATCGGTCGAGCAGGCGACCTTGGCACATGTGTCCGACGGGACGAGAGCGATCTCGCCGACTCTGCTAATATCATTGCAATCAATGATCGTGTGGCGCCGAGCACTTTGCATGCGGTGCATGGAGTCTTGTTAAGGGTCTCAAGTATTATGCAATATCGATCAACGCCTGGACGTTGTTTGCTGGTTGAGGGGCCATGGAAGACGGTCGAGGGAAATGCACATATATCCGGATCCGGGAGAGGGCGAGTAACGCCAGACACACCCGCGCAGATCTTATCCGGACAAAGCGCGCGATGAGGCGCGCAAGTGTTCACAACTCAGGTGACGTCCATGCCCTGCAGTGCATAATGACGCTTTCGTAATATATTCATGCAGGGAGGTCTGAGCCTTTGACGTCGGGGCGCCATCTTACGACGCATGACGCTCGTCGACTGGCGCAGAAAACTGGCGTGCGGGGTCAGGTGAGTGCGTGTATCATCTTCAATGGTCAAGTGGGCACGCAGCCATCGCATCATCTGAGAATGAGTTCATGTACAGTAGCTGATTGCTCGGCATTGATGGCAGATAGCTATCGCAGACCTATCATGTTCATGGGTTAGAGATCTGTCTTGAACGACCTAGCCCTTTATCGAGTTGGTTGATGGTGTCACGAGTGCAATCGCGGGAAAAGGCTTCTTGCATTCATTCTTAACGCGCTTCCCGTACCTGGTATAGTTTCTTCCATGAACCTTGCACCGCTTTGCAAGGGAGAAACTCCAGGCCACGCACGTCCTCGAGTCGAACTTGGCAGATGAGGCGTCTTAGCGTCCGGCCAAGTGAGTAGAGAGGGTCGTCGTCACGATCTGAAATCCGGTGTTCTCGCGTTTGATTGGTCCAATATGGCGGGCATTGTCCAATCCGCGCGCCGTATTATATGTTTGCCAGCGCGAGGCCAGTTCCAGCTTGACCATGCACCTCCCGCTGCACGGCGAATCGCTCTACTACGTGGCGTACGATGCACCCATGCCCACGGCGCCCGATGTCCTCTACCTCTACGCCGACTACCGCTACACCGCGTACTTTGAAGACTTTGGCCCGTTCCACTTGGGCACGACGATGCAGTTCTGCGACGACCTATCGAAGCTCCTCGCCCAAGCCAGGCGCGAGAAGAAGTTCGTGCACGTCTGCACGCGCCATGGCCTCGAAGAGCAAGCCAACACGGTGCATTCTCAATTACAGTGGCCTCGCACTGCTACATGCACATGCTTTAGGTCTGCCTCGTGGGTTGCTACGCTGTACTGTGCGCTGGCATGACCCCCGCCGATGCGCTACGCCCATTCCGCGACATGCAGCTCGCCTATTTTCACGACGCCACCGACGACGAGTGTTTGTTCGAGCTCTCCGTGTGCAATGTGGTCGAAGGGTTCGCCAAGGCCCTTTCACTCGAGGTACGTGGTTCGAAACCGCGACCGCGCATGCCTTTTTCATTATTTCGATGCTAGTACGTCGTCCGCGATCACTTTTGTGTGTCCGACTATGTACACCACGAACAAGTCAAGCATGGCAACTGGAACTGGATCACGCCGCGCCTCTTGGCGTTTGCAGGTCCGTCGGCGACAACCCACCCGCCGTCATTTTTTTGTGCCGCATTTTCGACGCCTCAACATCACGCTTGTCGTGGGCTTGAATGAGCGTTGTTACGACGCCAACGACTTTATCAGAATGGGCATTGACCACGTCGACTTGAGCTTTCCCGACGGCAGCAACCCGTCCAATACGCTCTTGCGCGCCTTCTTTGGGGCCTGCGACGCGACACCAGGGGTACGGTCTTGAGATGGAAGCATCGTCATAAGGGCATGAACGCTGGCGTAGGCGATCGCAGTGCATTGTAAAGCCGGACTGGGCCGCACGGGCACGTGTATTGCTGCCTATCTCATGCAGCGCGACGGGTTCTCGGCCAAGCAAGCCATTGGCTGGTTGCGGTACCCCATACTTAATCAACTCTGGCGCCAAGAATGCAGAATGCGATGTAGACTCTGCCGCCCGGGTAGCGTCATTGGTCCGCAACAAAACTTTCTCGTTGCCAATGAAGAAACCAAGTGGGGGTCGATGCTGCCACAAGCTGCCGAGCCACGTGTACGAGCAAGATTTATGGAGACACGAACAGGACTCTAAAGTGCTCTGTCTGTAGGCCAAGCTGCCAAGCGCTGCGTGGAACCAAGGCGCGCAGCTCTTGCTGCAGCGCAAGCGCAAGCACTGTTCAACACGAGAGACGAATGCGGGCAGTGTGCGCCTCAAAACGTAGTGCTCCAAGTGTCTCGTTGTCTGCGAACATGCGCGCATCTGCCTGTGTTGAATGTATATGTACCACAACGTACACTTCACTTTACTTTGCCAGAAGACGCTACCAGCTGCATGGCAATGCTCTCGTTCAACATGAACAGTCGCAGAATAAGATCTGCAGGCATCACTTCTACGTGGGCGCAGGGACTGCCACGTCACTATCTGAGTAGCAATGACGTGGCAGCATCCGTTCCTCCCTCATTCGACAAGAGACCGAAAACGACAAATATCGATTTGGGTAACACATAATACATCAAATAGAATTGTTGGGTCGAGACAAAATCCCCTACTACGGTGAAAAGAGCTCGTATAAAAAGCTGCATTCGTCTTCGGACCACTGGGTCGGGGGCTGTTGGACGTCGATGGGCTCCATTTCGAGCTGGATATCAGAGAGGAGCAGCGCGACGATGGCCATGTCGGCGGTATCGGTCGTCGTAGCGCGTCGCGGCTCAGAAAACGGAATCGGCTCGGGCAAGCCGGACGCGACTTCGCGCTGGCGCTGGGCCAAGATGTGCTGCTGACGCTGCGTCCGCTGGCTCTGGCGGCGCTTGGCGGCGTACGTTTTCTGGATCGCATTGGCTTTGCTGCGATGGTACTCGCAGAGCGTGTGCAGCACGCCGCTACGCCGATAAATGCGCGGGTTGGGGCATCTCGAATAGGTGTACCGACATCGCTCGTCGTCCGTGGCCGGCAAGGCGCTGCTGCTGTGACGCGTGCACATGGAAATTCATTCTGGCTCTAGCTGCCTTAGTCGTCGTCTCGTTGATGGCGCAGGCAGACGCAAGCGATAACAAAGCATCAACCATTAGTCTAGCCAACGAGACGAATTTCAGCGACTAGGGTCGCGGGACCGTGCGAGGCGCCAATGTACGTTCAGTGTACACGTACATTTCAATACTAATAAAGAGATTTAAAACGTACACTACGAATGTACGAGAACGTGTCCGACAGGAAATCTTTCGACTGTTGATGCGGCAACTGGACATCGAGTCGGAAAGGACTTTATAGAGCACAACACAAACTATCTACATTCGCGCTTACTTGTGTGCCGTTTGGATTGTATGTATCTTGCGCGTCAACGGATCGGGGCCGCGTCATACGCGGTGGTGCTTACTTGTGCCGTTTACATGCACGATGCGCTCGACGGGTTTATTCGAGCGGCATGAATCCGATCTAGATGGATACAAAATACTAGTACTGCCTATGGGCACACAAGGGACTCACTGGATAGTTCAATAGTGTTTCGCGCTAACTTTGTGTTTCAAAACAATACAACGTACTAGTACATATTAGAGACTACATGTAGCAAAAACCTCTTGTCGCTTCACTCGCTCACGGCGCTGATGGCCTCGTCGGGCTTGTCTGCCGTCATTTAATCTGGGGGCCTCGTGCACACGACGATGCACTCTGTGTGGTGCTTTCAAGCGCTCGTGGTTGAGAGCATGCCTGTAGCTACGCAGACTCGAGTGAGGTCGTTTATGGACGTGAGGCGTTGGTGCCTCGAGGTATGACACGCGGTAGCGTGCGCTTGGTGCAGCCCAACTGCATCGGGGCTGTTTAGGCAAGATAGAATGAGGCGTGGCACTTACCTGCAAGTGCATCGTGTCGTGGACGGGGCATAAACATGCATTTCGGCCTTTTGATTTTGAGGTGCACCCAGTGTTGCCTTCCCACCAGAAACGAGCTACGTGTTTCCACAGCTATAAGTTGTTACTAGAAATGTGCGTTTCTCAACATGGTTAACTTATTACATTATATATACTTCTACGACACGCGCAACTTTTAGGGGATCGCAGTCACTCGGACGGCATGAGTTCGGAGAGGAATTCCTTCTCCTCGTCCGAGAGTGGCGTCGCTTCCGACCACACGTTTGTCGGCTCCATGTTGTCGGCCATGACCATGTCGCTTGTCATCTCGGGTAGAAACATCGTGAGCGCTTGGAGATCCATGGGCTCGATCGAGAGCGGCTGCGGCGGCGAGAGCGGGCGATACGGGATCGGCTCCATGGGGCCGCTGTACCGGATGGGTCGCGGCGGCAGGCCGGCCGCACCGCGCATCGCGCGTAGCCGCTGGCGGCGCTTGGTCGCATACGTCTTTTGGATCATGTTGGCCTTGTTGCGGTGGAATTCGCAGAGCGTGTGGAGGACGCCGTCGTTGCGGTACGTGCGCATGTTGGTGCACGACTTGTAGGCGTACGTGCACCGGAGGTGCGCGGGCTGGGACATCTTTGGTGGAAGCATAAGCAGGGAAAAGCAAAAGTGATGAAAATTGGTTGGTATCGCTTGCAAATCCGGGCATTCGCGGATCCGGCCCGTCGCACGCGGCGCTCAAAGATTACCCGCCCAAGGTAAACTTTTCTTGGCTCCAGTAGTGTGCGACATGGCGCGGACGGCTGTACGTACGCTTATACAGAATGTACGTAGGGAATGTACGGTACGGTCCTCGTGATCACAGTGTGACACGCTCGTGGGAAAGTGGACGGTGGTGTTGGCAAAGATCGTTAGACACGCAAGGTGCTGGGACATCTGCGCGATCTTTTGGCCGCTGAGTGGTGGCGACGTCGACAGTGCGAGCGTCGAGTAGCCGCGATCGCATGCGTGCTCGACGCAGGGCCTGCGATATGCCGCTCTGTTTACATGCCCTGATGCTTGAGGCCATTCACAGACAGACGTCGACGACGGCCGGTTCGAGGTTCGACTGAGACGCCGCGCTGCAGCGATGACTTGTTCATGTAGCTAGCCGATGAGTCGAGACGCTTGCCAGTTACATGCAGCGTCGCGTCAACGCCATAGATGCTGTTGCGTCTTGTTCGTCTTTTCGAACGCACCCAGCGAGTGATTGGAACCAGTCACGCCGCACCCAGAAACGGGATCGACGCGAGCATAAATATGCTGCTATGCTGCGGAACGCTGACCACATCGTACACCCCCGTCCCGCCCCGCTCACGGCTTCTGTCCATGAAAAATAGGATCCGCGCCCTCGCCTCGACGGCATGTTGAAGTTGCCGCTAGGTAGGAAATACGACGACCACGTGGTTAATATTGCACTTTATACCTGCCTCATGGCAACAACGTCGGCGGCTCTTGGGTGACGGTGTGGCGAGTGCCCTTTGGGTTGGCTACTCTATGGAAGGTGCTGCGCAACCAAAATGTTGAGGCGTTAGACGCGCAATCCAAGATACCAGAAGAACGGTTGACCATACGTTCGTGATTGCTCGAGAAACGTACCTCTTCGATTTTTCGACGCTTCCTTGCACGTCGTGACCGCACCGCGTGTCTCCGTTGCCATGCACTTGGTCCCGTTTCGTCTTTTCGCAGTGAGGGATGGGATGTTTCTGGCAGCGCTGTTTACTCTGGATCACTGTTAAAAATGGTGTCCGCATACTAGTACTAGTATATAGAAGGTTTGTGGCACGTGTCCGTGCGATCGGCCAATGCGTTTCTCTATGAATGCACTGTACGAGCATCCAATGTATGGGTGCCTGCCTGGTGGCGGGCGATGCGGGTTTTGCTGTAAGCTACGGCTGCAGCTCGGTAAATGCCTTTGGGTACTGTTCGGGTTCGTGCCGGCCCCGCCTTCTCGCAGAACACCCCTTGCACGACCTGGATATGGCCCAAGGGTTCTATGAAAGTATGCTACGATATGTTGGTTGGTTGGACCGTCGTGTCTTCTTTGGTGCTGCTCAAAAGACGAGCCAGTGAGCTGACGTGCTAGCGTCGTCCTCACGTTGTTGCGGTTGAAGGAGAAGCAGCACATATCCAATTGTGATATAAACCTCGCTTCAACCGCGTCAACATCAACTTTTCTTGTCAACGAGCTTCGTGTTGCAGTGGCTGCATCTGACTTTGGATGGCGCCTCCATTCGGATAGACCAGCGAGACAACCCTGGCTTCAAGACGACCAGCATTTTAGTATATAAAAGTGCCTCCGTGCGTTGTCAGGCCGAGTCGTTGTAGCGCTGGCAACCACATGTATGCATCAATCCCTTTGAGCAGTCAGCCTGCAGAAAGACATATTGTTGTTGCTGAAGTGAATCTATTTAGATACAATTTACACTGAACTGGATATGGTGGTGGACTAGCGATTCCAAGGTGCTACGACGAGCCGGCGGCCGAGAGGCTTAGCCGAGCGGGAGACGTGGCGTGTGAACGGCACAAGTCGGAACGAGGTTGTCGCGTAGCCATGCGTCGTGATGCAGGGCTGCCATCATTTGGAAGAGGCACAGTGCTTGAGTGTTCAGCAGCAAGTGTTGGAGGTGCAGCTTGGTCAAGAACGCGGCTCGATGGGCGGCTGCCTCAGGCGTCACGAGGGGCGCCTCAGGGCGAAATACTAGGTCGTTGCGGACAAGCCAGACGGTGTGGAGCACGCACGCGCGGAGGATCGGCCACATCATGGCCACGGCAAGCCGACGGTAGCGTTGGGCGGTTCAAAGAGGAGCGCGGAAAGCGTCGTGGGAAGTTCGAGCTCGAGGGCATCGACGAGCGGCTAAAAAACCGCCCACACGGCAGTGACAAATTCGCAACGAAGCAGAAGATGATCTTACATCTCGAGGTCGCCGCAGACGGGACAGACTTGGGCGTCATCGGCCAGAAAGTAGAGCCGGGAGCGGAGCGCGACTGCGCCAAGCACCACACGGTACATGAAATCAGCGTATCTCGGCAAAATGTGCTCGGGTTGGCGGTACTCGATTGCTGCATCCACCATGGCCGGCGTGGCATAGTGGACGTCGGGGAGCTGCAGATATCTCGTAGGGAGGAGGCACTGGGCCGAGACGTCGTGTCGGCGTCGACAAGCGTGGCGAGTCGTTGCAGAAAGGCTCGTTATACGTCCCAACTTAACGTCAGTCAAGCCAATGGCGTCAGCCAGCCGAGCGAGTGCATGGCAATGCACAAAGCGAATCAAAGGACCCCAATCCCGCGCAATGACTACCAACGCTGGCAGTAGAGTGCTTCTACCCTCTCGACTACTCAAGTAGAAACTCCAAGTCCAGGCCTCGCAGACTTTGAAACGCCGAATGAAGAGACTACAAACAGCTACGATTATTATTGGCAAGTAAATAGGGTTTACAGACACAGAGTACAACGGTGGCAATGGCATGTTGTGTGTGTGGCGGTGTCAATGGAAAAGACGTCCAAGTGACCGGAATAGCAGCAGGAGGTGCTGGACGAGGACTCGTCGTTCAAAAGATATCGGCGAGGAACTCGTACTCTTCTTGCGAGAGCACCGAGGACGCGTCGTCGAGCGGCTCCATAAGGAGAAGGTCGTCGTCTTCAACCAGGTAAGCGTCAAAGGCCGCGGTGTCGAGCAAGTTGAGGAGCGACATCGTCATTGGCAGCACTGGCGTCGTCGTCATCTTGGTCGTTTGGAGCTTGCGAAGCGCGGCCTGCTTGCGCTGCTCGCGCTTTTCCTGGCGGCGCTTGGTCGCGTACGTGCGCTGGATCGAGTTGGCCTTGTTGCGGTGGTAGTCGCAGAGCGTGTGGTGGTCGCCGTCCTTCTTGAGCGAACGGACGTTGGTGCACGCCTTGTAGGCGTACTTGCACTGGAGCTCGGTCGGCACGTTCATGTTGGCGAGCATCGTTGTTGCTGTTGGTCAATTGCAAAGTGAGATCTTGGAGAGACTCCAAGACCGGAACGTCAAACTGCATGCGAAATGAGTGAGCGACTTGAAATTTTACGGGCGCGAATTCAGTAGAGTGGCATACCGTACAAGACATCATGTACGGCCGGACGGCTCTATTTTCGGCATATGCCACCGTATGACCCTCGACGCCAAAACCCCCACAACAGCTCCACACAATACACGCGGCGACACCACACAACACCAGCTACAGTCTATGCAACGACGACAAGAGCTCGTGGCGGGTACATAGCCCATCTAGGATTCCCCTCTCGTACAGGCGGCAACGCCCGCATAAACGCGGCGGAAAGGAAAGGTGGCGTGTCTCTGCGGTGGTGACTTTATTTTCGGCATAAAATGCCGAATGTGAGACAGCGTTTTTCGCAATGTACGCCCGTACACGCGTCTCGTACATGACGGCGGCAACAGGCGACACAAGGCGTGAATTCCAAGACGAGGCGGCATTCAGCAGCGCCACGACGTGAGCATGACGCGCCTGCGATATATAAGATCGGCGTCATTGACACTCGTGCGTCATCGTAGCCGTGTGCTAAGAAATCGGTGCAATTTTCGCGCCCGTTCTGCAATGCTGTCCTGCTGCAAGTGTTTACCACATTGGTCGATGGTGCAATTCAAGGAGGATATGCTTGGACGGGACACGCTGGAGGGTGTAGAAACGAGGTTAAGACTCGATGGTTGGTAGTCGAACTGTCAAGAACGCCTCTGTGAATCGTATCGCTATGCCAGGCGTGATCACACTCTGCTGGCCACTGCAAGGGCACTCAATGGCCAACCAGGTCTACCGGTATTGACCAGTCCACACCAACAGAGATGGATCATCCAATGCATTCCTTCCAGATATGTTAACACAAAACAAACGATGCCATAATCTTGCGATCGTAGTTCCGTTGAGCGTCACAGATGACTTGTGTCGGCTCGGTGCGCGAAATAGCAAGCTAGTTTAGCAAGCTTGTCCGGTTGCATAAGCTATGGCAGCTGCACCCGTGCGCGATGCACAGCGCTGCAGTGGCTTGCAAGCGTATCTATGCACGAGACCGAATGCAGTTCGTGTCTAGTGTCTGCTCACGTCAACGTACATGCCCGAGATGGCGCCAAAAGGTATCCTATCGTATGGATTCGACCCCAGCGCTGTGATCACTGTGAAACACCATGCAGCTCTCATGCCAGCTGCCTCACAGGCCTATCAACGAGGCGAGCGACAGACGAGCTTGCGCTTTTGACGACCTTTATTTGGACTTGACAACACCCAGAGAAAGATACACGATATATGATGATGGACCAAGCACAAGACCTTCTGTGGAAATAGATACCGACCGATACACGCTTTGCCCGGTACAAACTTGGCAATAAGAAACTAAGAGACGCAATGTGAACGTGGATTACAGCTCGTTACACGTGCTGCTAACCGCACTCACAGACCTCGCCTCCGTTTCGGCCTGTCAAGATGCAGATAGCACCTAGTCGACCACCTTTTGTCCAGTCGGTGGATTCCTGCTTCACATGCAGGAGGTGCGGGGTTCGAGCCCCGTAGGTGTTGTCCCTTTCTTCTCTTTCCCATTGGCGTTGGCATCGGTACCATCAAATCACAGCTTGACACGGCCGACATACTGAGCAGTGGGACGTCCGTAGCACTACAACTCTAACCATGGCACACCCCACCGATTACGCCACCAGCCGTAAACCGTTGAGGCAGGATGGTGGCTCACGCGGCGATATCCGTTGCAAGCGCGGTGTCGTCCTAGCCGTCGTCCTCGGACCCTTCCTTGCACAAGGCACAAGCCTTGCGTCGCGGCTCAGCACCTCGACAATACCAGTAGGCACACAAAGTCGCCTGTCGTTCTAACTCTATACCCCTACACCTAGAACATTATGCTGCACCGCTGGTGCGCAAGGGTCTCTGGTAGATTCGGGAGCTTGGCGCGCAGCTACGTCCATGTACCGGCATGGCAGATACTTTGTCATGCATCTTGACGTGCACCGCGAACGTTGCTGAGCCGGTTGTCAAGAGACGATTAATAAGTTCTGGACGTTTGGGATAAATAAGAATTGATATTACGGTTTCAAAACGACAATGACGCAACTCAATCGACGAGCGTACATAGAATGTCATAGTCATCGGCCGACAACTTAAGGCGGTCGGTAAAAAGTCGGCTGGTCATAAAGAGCGCCGCGTCCGGGACTTCGAGGCTACAGCACGTCGTGTCCGATGAAAAGTCGTCTTCAAACAAGAGCGAGAGGTCGACCAAATCGTTGGGCTCGATCGCGAGCGCCGCGTCGGGCAAGAACGGGGCCGGGTCGGGCATCACAAGCGCCGGCGACCGACTCCGCGGCGGCGACTTGCGCTGCATGCGGAGCTCTTGACGGCGCTTGGTGGCGTAAATCTTTTGAATCGAGTTGGCCTTGTTGCGGTGGTACTCGCACAGCGTGTGTGGCTCGCCGTCTTTCTTGAACGTGCGCGTGTTGGGGCACATTTTGTACGGGTACTTGCAGCGCGAGTCAGGCGACGAGGGCATCATACTTGGTAGTCGTATTACACTGAGTGCAATCTGGCAAAAGGTAAAGTGGGGAAAATCAAGAATTGAAAAATTCCAATCCCGCGACGACGGCGACGTGTGTCTATTGGAACGGTAACAAATGGAGGCCCATCCTCGCAATTGCATTCGGGCCAGACCCGCTTCTGATGCTGGACCGCGAGCATCGCAGATACTTGGAGTTGTCGTAACACTAGCTTCCCGCACCTTCCACGTGGCCAAACGCAACAATTTACAAAAGCCAACGTACGGACAAGTCCTTCCGGCACAAGGCTCGAGACGGTCTGGATCCCTCACGTCCCGCGCGACGTTCAAGTCCGTACGTTCTTGCGAGTTTGCACCCGCGACGCTCCTAGTAGATTAGCTAATCGTAACCACTCGGGTATGGTAATGGTCGAGCCTACTACAACCATGGTATAAAGCCGACGTGGCGTTGTCGAGCCAGACGCGACTGGCCCTTTGAACGCATAATCCGTTGTAACGTCCGGCTTCGACAAAAGGGGCGTTTTGATTGGTGCGTCGGATTTTTTGGGCCAATCATATCACCGATGTAGAAATGCCATACCCAATCACTGCCGGGTCCAAACACCAAGACCAACCTCGGCGCAGACGGACGGTCAATAGGGTTGCATGTTGCTTGTACATCCAGCGATCGCGCTCGCGACGGCGGGGCGACGCCTTTCACGCTCGAGCTCGCACACAACGAGCAGAACACTTTGAGTAGCAGTAGTAGCACGACAACCTTGTCAATAGACACGCGTCGGCTTCGTGTCCAGGCAGCGAGAAATGTATATGGTCAGCATGTGTGCCAGAAGCATCCAGCGGCGTTGCTGTATGCGACGCCTTGACGGACCTTGCAGCAAATCCAAGCCAAAGGTGTTGTCTCGACGTTGAAGCCTCGTATGCAACGTGGCCGAGCCTCGTGCGATTCGAACCGGAGATGCCGACGCAGGGACATGCCGCCACGACAAATGCAACCCGAAATTACGCGCCGCGGGAGCAAGCAAGCGCCGGAGCCGTCCACCAAGAGGATCGGTTTCCGTGCCGCATGTGACCTCGTTTTTCACCCGCCGAACCAAGGCGACAGTGCGTTCGAAGCGCTGGACGCTGGGCATGACGCAGCCATCGCCGACGCACTCGTAGAACGCGACGCCGTGTCCGTCAACACGGTGGCTCCGCCTCTTTCGACCCAAGACCGTCGAGAGCACTCTGCGATTAGGGTCGTTTCTGGGTTCGCTCCCAATGCGGTACCCAGCTGTAGCGTGGCTGCACGTAAGGGCATCGAAGGGCCATTTGCATCGGCCAAGCTACATCGCTGTGCGTCAAGCCCCTCGTACACGCCCGCCTTGCACCGACACAGTTCCGTACCCACTGACCACTGCACTCGAGTGCAACGAGTGCAACCGCCGCCAACTTGCCCATCGAGATCGAGATCGAGATCGATCGCGCCGCCACAGGACACGCCAGACAACGTGGCCATGCCCACTGCGGTCGTGTCGCGCATGCGTCCGGTAGCAACGACGGGCCAAAGCGTCCACGCAGCGTCCAGCGGCGCCCGACTTCAAGGCGCGGAACCGGGCCTATCGTCGCAGCGACCGCGTGTAGCGCCGGCCTGGGTCATGGGCGTGTCGCGGCGCACGTCGCTACAAGCAGCAAGGTCGTCGTTGCATCAAGACAAGACGGAGGAGGATGTAAACACGGGCATGTTGACACATGCATCGGCGCTCCTCACAACACGCACACATAAGACACGAGGTCGCCTACGCCGCCAGCGCCATGCACGGCTTGGTGCACCATGGGTGGTCGAGCGCAAGCTTGCGGCGAATGTCTCGCTCGATCTGGCGGATCGCATTGAGGTCGCTGGGGCTGCTCGACGTCGCGATCTGGATGCCCATCTCGTCGTTGCGCCACACGAGGTGGTTCTCGTTGCGCTTGAGCTTGAAGCCGTACGACGCCATCATCTCGGAGAGCGCGCGCAGCCACTTGGTCCTGACCTTGGCCATGTTCGCAACGGGCAAAGAAGTGGGCAAGCCCTGTCAAAGATATCTGCGTCGATCGGCCGTAGAGTATGCATTGCCAGAGGTTCGTAATCTGGCTTTCTCAAAGTAGTCGCGCTCTTTCTCCTTTTCGTCTCTTGTCATATGTATTTGGCAATCGTAAAATCGTTTTGAGATAGTTGCGAGATATGTCATGTGCTATTGGGTGGTGGCCACCAGGCGACGAGCGCCCTTTGCACGACGCGTTCACCTCGATAACTGCACGGTAGGGTGTAGCAATGAGGCACAACAAGCACTCGCTATCTGTATCGTCGATCGAGCACACTGCTTGCCTGCAGTTGCGGTCCTGGCAGAGATGATTGGACCTCTGGGAATCGATACATCCGGTGCCAGCACGCATTTGAGTGGTACGGACTCCATCAACCGCGCGCCAACGGCTTGATCCTGGAGACGGCATGTCGACGTTTTCATGTGTGCCGCATCGTCCTAGACTAGTATTAACTGTTAGTATGTATAGGATCGCGCGGCCTTGGTGCTTGCGGCCATACCTTGACAAAGACATCAAGTTCATATCGTCAAAGTGCAACTCCCTCAAAACAATTCAGCATGTCGTCGGCCTCTTTTCCCGCCAAAAACAGAGGTCATCGTCATTTATATCCTGGGCAATAGTTTTCGTGGACTCCTTTCTGCCACGTTCGCCAGAACCGCCCACTGAAACATTGATACATTGATGCCTTGCGTCGGCGCCCACGTCGGTGTCTGCCGGGAATCAAGTCGGCTTCATTGGCATTCTGGTGGGACACACGATTTCCGAATACGAATGTAGTGTTAGAACGCTATTTCCGTGCAATCCGCGTGAAACACCAGCATGCGCCACGACCACGGCTGGAAGTCGGCCGAGGTCAAGGCCATCCGCGCCGGCCTCCTCGCGTGGTACGACAAGCGCCGCCGGTGCCTGCCATGGCGCGGCGACAGTCCGCCGTTCCTGAGCGTCGTCGAGGACCGGGCGCCGGGCTATGCCGCGTCCGTGCCTGTGTCGCCGTATGGCACATGGGTCTCGGAGATCATGTGCCAGCAGACACGCGTCGAGACGGTCGTCGACTACTATGTTCGCTGGATGGAGAAGTTCCCGACGGTTCACGCGCTCGCCGCTGCCGAGCCCGACCAAGTCAACGCGGCGTGGGCTGGCCTCGGGTCCTCACCGACGACTACGCTCTAATGGCGGTGCTCACGGCATGCATAGCTACTACCGCCGTGCGCGCATGCTCCACGACGGCGCCAAGTTTGTCGTCGAGACGTACAACGGTGATATGCCCAACGACATTGAGCGCCTCAAAGCGATTCCTGGCATCGGCCCGTACACGGCCGGCGCGATTGCATCTGTGGCCTTTAACGTGCCCGCGCCGCTCGTCGACGGCAACGTCATTCGCGTCGTATCGCGACTGCGCGCCATTGGCGCCGACCCCAAGCACAAGCCGCTCCTTGATCATTGCTGGTATTTGATGCCTTTTTCAAGTCAAGTCGAAAAATACTTGACTGATGATCATGATGTAGGGAGTCGGGGCAAACGCTGATCGACGCTGATCGCCCAGGGGACTTTAACCAAGCGCTCATGGAGCTCGGTGCGCGGCTGTGCTCGATTCAGGTGCGCTGAAGAAATCTGCATTCTTGTTGCGTTCGACTGCGTAGAACCCGTCGTGCGAGAGCTGCCCTGTGCAAGCCCAGTGCTACGCCTACACTGAGTCTCAAGTACGATATTGCGCAAGGAAAAATGATGTACAATAGATCACCCACGCGATCGTAGGCGCCTAAAAAGACGGCCAAAGCCTCGGATATCGACTGCAGCATGTGTGACATGACCCGCCTCGACGAGTGGGGACTCCCGGGCAGCGAGGTTGTCCCACCCAAGACGAGAGAGTGTGTCGCTCAATCTCTCTTTAGGTCACGCAGTACCCTCTCAAGACGCGCAAGAAGGCGCCTCGCAACGAAGCACTCAACATTCTCGTGCTCACGACCGAGCTGACCGATGGTATGTATATGTATCTCCAAGGGCGCTGTATGTAGCCGATGCAAGTAGGCGAGATCGCGTACCTCATGACCAAACGACCCGAAGGTGGTCTTCTGGCGGGTCAGTGGGAATTCCCGGCATTTAAAGTAGGTCGCAATACGTGTCCGCTCGAGATGTAACAATTTACTATTGCTGTAGATGGCAAACGACGACGTCATCCCCGCGTACAAAGCCCGTCAAAAAGTATCCAACGACCAGCTCTGTGACCTCTTTGGTCTTTCGACCATGAAAGCGATCGTGCCGTACATCGAGTCGCGGGCCGACAAGGGCGACCTCGTCCATATCTTCTCCCACGTCAAGCATCACATGGGTGTCGAGCACGTCCAGTTGACGCCCAACGAGGCCCTTGCGACTTTGTTTTCGCCGGCGTATGCGTGGATGACGCCATCAAAGCTGGCCGAGGCCGGCGTGACAACGGGTATGAAGAAAGTCATGCAGCTTGTCCATCCGACCAAGGCAGCCAAAAAGACCAAGGCGCCGCGCGAGCCAACGTCGCGCAAGGTCAAGTGCAGAGTCGAGGCCGCCCCCATCACGTCCTTCTTCAAACCCGAGCCCAAGGCGTAAAATACGCCACCAATATCGTAATTTGACGCAGAGGAAGAGGTCGATACGGACATGTACATTGTGTACGAGCGCAGACCCTAAACCCATTCGGCACATCGCACAAAGGTAAAAATGCCGTTGGAAAGCACGCGCCTGGATGATACGTCCGTCGACGCGTGCGACGATAAAGAGGCGAGTAGGTAATATATCGAAGGTCCATATATGCTACCTCGAAAGTTACCTTGCATGTCAGGAGGCTGTTGTGAGTCGTCGTTCGAGTGAGTTGCTCGTGGTTAAACGCGTTCAAGTGCGTTTTATGTAAAACGCACCCAATCACATAGTTTACCCTAGGTGTGTTTACGTGTGATGAGGTACGTACGCCGTCGAAGACGACGATGTCGATGTGATCGCGAAATATTAATAAAATAAAATGTATTATTTTCCACGTCGCGCAGTCCATGCGACACACGTACGTGGTGCCAACGATGCTACGTGTGCCAACGAATGGTTCTTCACCTGCATTTCTGAAGGACTAGATTTGAGAGGCACGTGACAGTCTCGGCATCGCGTCAACGACAACATCCTTTGGACATCATCGGTCAAACCGCACCAAGATAGAATTCTTAAAATTATTATCATAAAAATATGCTGCCTTCCCAGGACGTGGCTGCCGGGACGTGGCTAACCTGCGATGCAGGCAATGAAATATTTTATTTTTATGGATGCAGGCGCCGTGGATCCAATGATATCACTCGGCTCTCGGGTACACTGTACAGCACATGAGCTCGGCCACAGAGAGTGTATACTGCGAGCAAGAAGGCCTGATCAAAACGATCAGCAATCGAATGCCGCACACAGGTATATAATCAAATGGTTCGAGCTCTTTATTATAATGCTCGGGCCAGAACCAGTGCTGCTTCAGAGCCGTAAAAGAAGCACGCACTACTGCTGGACCTGCTTTACCTCACGCAATCAAGGGTGCCACAAAGAAACTAAGTGCACTTGAAGTTTGTATGGGACGCGCGCACGTTCTAGAAACATCACTCTGCAGCAACCCACGTCATAAAGTTGAAACTGGCCACCGGGTCTTGGTCTTTAAACGCGTTTAACCTAGTTGCGTTAAATGATCATCGACATTCCGTTGTTGGCACTGCAAGCCGATGGACATTACACAACGCGCGCAACCGCGGCTCAGGTATACCGCACCACCAAGACAAGGCTCTTTGTAGACTACAAGCATCGAGGACCTCGTCGAGTCTCATGAACGCCCGCAATGGACGTCGGACGCAGCGCGTCAAACCCCTTGCACTTCTTTGCGTTTAACGCTTCAGAAGGCCTCGGTTTGCGTGATGGAATCACGACATCACGCCGATGCGCCGCAGCGATGCAACGCATGGTGAAGGGTTTAGCCAACCACACGCAATCAAGACGATCTGATGATGTGAGTTGCTCCAAACGCATGTCCCCCTAGAAACAAATCGCAACGTGGCCCCTCCCTGTCGCGTCTATCTCGCGCATTGTATACATACCGTTTTCGATGGTCCCCGTCGGTCTCGTAGTGGTGCACCCCCTGGCTGACGCGATTTCCATGTGAGAGACCCAAACATGCATTTGGACGCCCCGACAAAGCAAGAGGCCGACGAGACGAGCACCCGGCGACCGGCGACGCGCAGCGCGACGACGACGACCGCGAGCTCGGCGGCCGGCAGCAGCCCACGCAGCGGCTCGACCGACGACACGTCATCGCCGGTCGATGTCAACATGCTCACCTACTTTATGGGCAATTCCTCGGACGACAGCGTCAAGAAGGCCAAGGCCAAGAAGAACCGCCACCGCCTCAACAACATTCGCCACCGCAAGCGCAAGCAGACCGAGAGCGAGGAGCTCCGGAAGAGCGTCATCGACATGGAGCGACGCCTGGTGGAGCTCCGGGAAGAGGCGAAAGCACGCCTGTACAAGGACGGGCCAAACGTGTTTGAAGAGCACGCCAAGCTGGTCAAGCGCAGCCTCGAGTGCGCTCAGGAAGAGAAGCGGCTCTTGGAGCACACAATTTCGGCGCAGCACCAGCTCATTGCGTTCTACGAACACACCTCCAAGACTGTACCTGGCTTACTGCGCCGGCGAAGGGCCTCCGTGTCCTAAGCCCATGCGCCGTAGTTTTTATTATTTGATCCCGACACTCTATTTTATAACTACCACCCCACCTTGCGTCCGTCCCTGTTGACAGGAAGGCTGCTTCCCAGCGCGTAGTAACGATGGGTAGTCCAAGAGTCTTGCACACCGCTAGAAGAAGGCGCAAGCGCACTCACTTCTTGACAGCGGCCGCCTTGACCTCAGAAGCCTTACGGCTGCTGCGGGTCCTCGTGGCATCTGCACGCCGGACGCCACGCCGAGCCGTCGACCATCCATCAGTGCAGGCGTCAGAGTGACGTAGTCGAGTCGTCATGGGACCCCCAAAGTGTCGCCAGCTCGGCAACTCGCATGCCCACGGGCTGTTTCCGCGCCGAGATGCAAAAATACATATACAAGACGCAAGGTATTACGCAGCGACACCTCGGAAACCTCGCTTACATGCTCGCCGTGCACCACTACGCAGTCGCATGGCTTGCAGAAATCAGGAATCGGAATGTGTGTAAATACCTGTTTGAACTCGTCAAAGCTCAGGCGCGCGTCGTGGTTGACGTCAGCGTCTCGGAAGCACTGCGTCGCCGTGGCCCGCGCAAGCTCCTCGGGCGACACGCCCATCTTGTCTTTGGCGCGGTCCGACGTCTCGTACATGACCTTGAAGATCGACGTCATGTAGCTCACCATCTCGTCGAGTGAGATGAACCCTAATCGCCATCAAACAAATGCAACGCCAAACGGAGGCACTACCGTCGCCGTTGATGTCGTAGAGGCGGAAGGCCGCGAGGACCTTGTCGTCCATCGACGAGCCTGAGAGGACGCTCAGGCCGCTCGCGAGCTCGCCAAAGTCGACGGCGTTGTTCTCGTCGCGGTCAAACGCGCGAAAGAGACGGCGGATGACGACCGAGGCCTCCTGCTTGGCCTGTGGCGACGGGTACCCGCCCGCGAGTTCCACCATGTGCTCAAAGCACTGCCGGAACGATGCAAAGTTGAGTTCGCCGGACGGCGCGGCTTCGGCAAAGATCTCGAAAATGTCGGCGACCTCGTACATGTCGAGCTTGAGGAGCGACCGGATGCGCTCCATGCCGCCCGCCGACGTTGACGTGCTGCCACTCGGCGCTTCGTCGTCCGAGCCGGCCATCGCCACCGCACTGCCCGCGTCCGAGAGGGTTGCATTGGTCTTGGAGTACCACGACACAAACTCATCGAGCGAGAGCTTGCCGTCGTGGTTGAGGTCGGCCTCTTCAAAGCACTGCTCGGCCGTAATCTACGTATAAAAAATCTCCATGGGTTCCTGCTACGATCGTATCGCAGCGGAAAACAACTTCTAATGGCGTCGCGTCCGGTGGTTGCTGCCCCGGATTGGTCTCAAAGAGCACTTTAAAGACAGACGTGAGGTACGTCGTCATCTCGTCAAGCGACACGACGCCATCGTGGTTGAGGTCGTAGAGGTCAAACGCGGCCTTGACACGGTCCTCCTTGCGCCCGCCGCAGAGCACCGAGAGGCCGCTGCTCAGCTCCAAAAAGTCGACCAACCCGTTCTGGTCCGTATCAAAGATCTCAAAGAGGCGGTCCAGAATCAAATGCACGCGGTGTCGGGCCTCCTTGTCCATGCTCTACACGGCACAAAATGAAAACCCACGCCACCGAGGACGTCGATGGTATTACCTGCAGCGGAATGAGTGCGGCGAAGCTCGCCTCAAACGCCGCCCGGTCGAGTTGCTTTGTGTCGTTGGCATATTGGGCAATGACGTTGAAGACGTCCTGGGGCGCGTACTTGTGCAGCTGCGTGAGCTCACGCACGCTCGCGAGGCTCACCCACGACGGCATCTCGACATGGTTGAGGCCCGACGCACTCGGGGTGAGGTACCACTTGCGAAACTCGTCAAAGCTCAAGCTCCCATCATGGTTGAGATCGGCCTCCTCAAACGCTTGGTCGGCCGTGACTTCGCCAAGCTCGTCCGGGGAGACGCCGGCGAGGCGCGCTTGTGTTTCGGGCGAGCTCTCATACAGCACCTTGAAGACTGACGTCAGGTATAACGCCATCTCCGCCTTGGAGATGGTGCCGTCGTGGTTCGCATCATAGAGCGCAAAGGCGGCGCGGACCTTGTCTTCCTGCGTGCCACCTAAATACAGTGCAAGCGTATCCCATGAGATGCATCAGTTTGAATCGATGCTTACCGCAGAGGACGCTAAGCCCGGCGCCGAGCTCGTTAAAGTCGACGACCCCGTTCCCGTCCGTGTCGAAAATCGCAAAGAGCCGCGTGGCGACCGCGTCGACGGAGGCCGCGTCACCCGTCGCAAAGCTCTGGAGCACGGACGTAAAGTCTTGGAGCGTGAGCTGCCCCGTCGCGTCGTGGGCGGCGCGGCGAAAGCACTCGACGACTTGCGACGGCGGAAACGCGTGCAAATTCGTGAGGTGACGCACTTGGGCGAGGGACGGCAGCGAGATCTTGTTCGGCTTGATGTTCGGAAGGCCGTTGGACTGCGTGTACCACGTCTCAAATTCATCGAGCGAGAGCTTGCCGTCGTGATTGCGGTCGGCGTCCAAGAACGCTTGCTCCGCCGTCACTTGCGCGAGCTCGTCAGCGGTCACTTGCATCTTCTCGGCCAGCGTCGGGTCGGTTTCGTAGAGCACTCTAAAGACCGCGCTGAGGTACCGCGTCATTTCCAATAGCGAGATGTAGCCGTCGTGGTTGTAGTCGTACAAGGCGAACGCTGCCTGGATCTTCTCTTTGCGCGCGCCGCCGCAGAGCAGCGTGAGCCCGGCCGTGATTTCGCCAAAGTCGACGACGCCATTCTTATCCGCGTCAAAGATGCCAAAGAGCCGCGAGAGCACGTCGTGGACGCGCCCCACGATCGGACCCACGACAAAGTGCGACTCAAAGCACTGGACAAACGCGTCTTTGGTGAGGTTGCCGTTGGCGTCGGCGGCCTCGGCGAGCACTTCAAAGACATGCTCGGCCGGGAAGCGCTCGAGCTGCGTGAGTCGGCGCGCTTCTTGAAGGCTGAAGAGCGTCGCGCGGCTCTCGTCAGCATTCGACTGCTGGTACCATCTACAAACACATATATCTACCGATCGAGACAAAAAGGCGTCGTACTTTTTGAACTCGTCGAGGCTAATCTTGCCGTCGTGGTTGAGATCGGCCTCGTCAAACGCCTGCTCGGCCGTCACAGTCGCGAGTTCAAGGGGCGTGACATCCTTGACCGTGTGCGCGCCCACTTCGTAAAGCACTTGGAAGACCGAGTGGAGGTACCGCGTCATTTCGTCTTGCGAGATGAACCCGTCGCCGTTAAAGTCGAAGAGCGCGAACGCGGCGCGGACCTTGTCTTCTTTGGAGCCGCCGCAGAGCACCGAGAGACCGCTGCTGAGCGCGGAAAAGTCGACGACGCCGTCGTGTTCAAAGAGCGCGTACAGACGGTTTAAAAAGCCGCGAATGTCGGCCGGCGCATTCGGAATGAGCGTCGCAAAACACTGGTTGAACGCGTCCTTTGTCAAGTTACCGTCCTCGTTGGCGGCCTCGGCAAACAGCTCAAAGACTTCCTCGGCCGAAAAGTGCACAAGGTTCGTCGCATGCTGAAGCTGCTCCAAAGTCAAGCGCTTGCCGGTCGCGACGGCCATCTCCTCGGCGCTCACGTGCAGCGGCTGCTTGTACCACTAACAATGACCTTTGCTAAGCAATTGTTGTGCAACAAACACGCACCTCAGTGAACTCTTCCAAGCTAAGCTTGCCGTCGTGGTTGGTATCGGCCTCGACAAAGGCCTGCTTGGCCGTCGCGGTGCCGAGCTCGGCGGCCGAAACGCCCGTCTCCGTGGCCATGCCCGGCGACACTTCATAGAGGACGCGGAAGACGGACGTCAAGTATCGGACCATCTCGTCCATAGAAATGTACCTACAGACACACCTAGCATCCAGATACCAACCACGTCAAACGTACCCGTCGCCGTTGTAGTCGTAGAGCGAGAACGCCGCCTTGACTTTGAGGTCGCGCGACCCTTTGCAGAGCACAGAGAGCCCGGACGCAAGCTCGCTAAAGTCGACGCGCTCGTTCTGGTCTTGGTCAAACGCGCAAAAGAGCCGCGACGCAACCGTCGACAAACTCGGGTCCGGATGGCGCCCCGCAAGGCTGACCAAGCCGTCGTGGAAACGCTCAAACGAGATCAAGCCCGCGTCGTCAGCGTAGTCGGCAAACGTCTCAAAAACGTCGTCCACGTCCAAGCCGCCGAGACGCGTCACACGGCGGAAGTCGGCCAACGTGGTCGGTCCCGGCGCATACCAGCTACATGCATATCGGTACTTCAAGAGGGTGCAGACATCGTATCGCTACAAACCGCTGAAATTCGGGAAAGGAGATGGCGCCGTCGCGGTCCGTGTCGGCTTCGGCCATGGTCGTGGCCGCCGTCGCTTCGGCGAGGGCGACAGGCCCGACGCCACCGAGTGTCGACTGCTTTTGCGGCTCGAGAACATACATGACGCTAAAGACGGCAGTGAAATACCGCGCGAGCTCGGCTTGGGAGAGGCGCCCGTCGCCGTTGCGGTCAATGAGTGCAAACACCGCTTGCACCTTGTCGTCCTGCGATGCGTCGTGTGCAAGGACCGATAGCCCGGCGACGACATCGGGCCACGTGACGCGCACGGCCACAGATGCAGTGAGGGACGCGAGCAGCCCTTCCAGCAATTCCTACCACCTGTCAGATGACAATCCAAGAAAGCCATACGCGTACTTTGGCCGGCGCGGCGCGGGCTCCGTGTAAGCCAAGGACGCTGAGGATACCAGCACTGGTCACAGGCTTGCGTGCCGCGTTGCCAAGCGCAGCGATGAGCTGTCGCGTGGACATGCCTTGCATGCCTAGACCATTCCTGTGAGCGCATTTTGCAAGTATCCTGTGGTACCGAGAGTGGCTTGCGCATCCGGAATCGACAGAGGACGTGATGTCCGCGCTGCGCTTGGGTTTTGGTACCAGACACTAAACTCGTCCAAGCTCAGCTTGCCGTCGCGGTTCGTATCGCAGGACGCAAAGCACTGCGCGGTCGTGGCCTTGGCCACTGCGATGGGCGAGTCCGTTCCGAGCTGCTGCGGCAGGTGCGGCGCGGTCTCAAAGAGGATCTTGAACGCAGCCGTGAGGTACGTTTCCATCTCGGACGGCGAAATGAAGCCGTCGCCGTTCGTGTCAAAGAGCGAAAAGGCCGCGGTAACCTTTTCTTTGGCCGAGCCCTACACATCGGCAACCCATAAGCACCATCGGCATTGCAACCTCAAGAACGCACGCCGCAGAGCAGCGAGAGGCCGGCTGCGAGCTCCTTCGTATCGACACTCCCGTTTCCATCGGCGTCAAACAGCACGAAGAGACGGTCGAGCGTGGCTTTGATCGACGCTTTCGGCGCCGTCGTCGTCGTCTTGCTCAAAAGCTTGTTGAAGCAGCGGAAAAACTGCGCCTTCGTCAAGACACCATTCTCCTTGGCCGATGCGGTGAAAAACGCAAAGATGTCGTCGACCGCGTACTGTCCGAGGCATGTGAGCTCGCGCACGTCGCGAAGCAGCGACAGATCGGGCGTGAGAGGCGCCGGCGGCGCGCTCGGAACGGGCGTCGAGTACCACGACGTAAACTCATCGTAACTGAGTTGACCATCCCGGTTGGCGTCGTACTGCACGAACGCGTCGTGGGCGGTCACTTCGGCGAGCTTCTCGGGCGCAAGAGGCAGTGGCGTCGACGCAAAGGCGGCGAGGACGCGAAAGACCGCGGTGAGGTAGCTCACCATCTCGTGGTACGCAATGAACCCGTCCTTGTTGACGTCGTACAGAGCGAATGCTGCCTCAACCTTCTCGCTCTGCGACCCCGCGCAAAGAAGGCTCAAGCCCGAGCTCAGCTCACAAAAGTCCACGACCCCGTTGCCATCGCTGTCAAACGCGGAGAAGAGCCGTGCAATGACCTACGTCGTCCAACTCATGATGGGTTCTACGAGACCACCTGTGGTGCATACCTGCGGCGTCTCTGCTTCGGCCGACCCGCCCTGCATCAGGCGCTCAAACGCGTGGTAGAAGGCTTTGCGGTCGAGCACGCCGTCGCCGTTGACGTACAGCGCGAGAATCTCAAAGACGTCGGCCGGGTGGCGTGTCCAGAGATTCGTAAGCTTCCCGACACGCTCGAGGGTCATCGTCGCCGGCGCCACGTGGATCGACCCGACCGCCGCGTGGTTGGGAAAGAGTGGCGCAGGCTTGGGCAACGCCGCCGTCGGGGTAGCATACCTAGGATATCGCGATCAATCGATATGGATAGAAGTGGCGTCTGTACCAGGCTTGGAACTCGAGGCGGCTCAAGATACCGTCCCGGTTCATGTCAAAGTCGTGAAACATCTGCTGCGCCGTGCACATTGCGAGCACGTCCGGCGCCAGCGGCACGTGCACGTTGGTGACGCCGTGCAATACGCGAAAGACAGCGCGAAAGTACGCCGTCATCTCGTTCATCGAGATTTGCCCGTCGCCGTTGGTGTCGACGAGGCCAAAGACCGCGTCCACGTCGGGCGCGCACAAGATGCTCAGGCCCGTGCGCAGCTCGTTCGGGTCCGCAAAGAGCGTGTACAAGCGCTTGAGGAGCGATGCGATCTCGACGCTCACGGGTTTGCGCTGCCGCTGGAGAATGCGCGTCATCATCGCGACAAAGTCGGTCTCCGAGAGCGACCGCGTGCGTGGAAACTGCGCGAGCATTTCTTCGACAGTGTAGTCGCCGAGCCCCGTCATGTCCCGGACCGCCTCCAGCGTCCACTTGACCTACGTCCATGATGATGATGCGACTGGTTTTGAAGGCTACCTGGATCGGCTGCGACGCGTGCTCTTGCGTCTGCTTTTGGTTGAGCATTTTGAGCGCTCGGGCATGTTGCGGCGCCTGTTGGTTGGTTCTCGCATACCACTAACGCGAGATGCAGACGACGAGTTGAAACGGTGGTTGCATGGATCGAGACGTACCTGCTGAAACTCGTGGAAGGAGAGACGCCCGTCGTGGTCCAAGTCAGCTTCGTCAAAGCACTGCTGCGCTGTAACCTGGCCAAGTTGGATCGGATCCACACTAGCAGATAGCACATGATTATCACCACCAAAAAAGAGAATGCGCCTACCGGTTGGAGAGGAAGACGGCAGGGTTGAGCTCGGCAACGACGAGGTAGACAGATGTGAGGTACGTGGTCATCTCTTCGAGTGAGATGTAGCCGTCCCCGTTCGTATCGTAGAGCGTAAACGTGGCTTGGATCTTCTCGTCGCGGTCGCCGTGGACGAGCACCGAGAGGCCGCTCACAAACTCGACGACGTCGACGACGCCATTGCGGTCCTTATCAAAGAGGTCGAAGAAGCGAGAGAAGACGTTGTGGTCGCTGCGATGGCAGAGCTGCGTCAAGCACTTGATGAACGAGCTGCGGTCGAGGCCTCCGGTGGGCGCCGCCGCCCGAAACGTGTCGATGAGCTGCGACAGCGTGTATTCCGAGAGATCCAGAGCCGGCGCTTCGTCGTGCCATCCGACGCGCAGTGACCGCGTCAGCTCTGCGTAGCTGGCGTCCGGGTCGCCAAGACAAACCAGCTCGAGTGAGCTCGCGTGGACGTGCGCATGCGCATGCACCTTGCGGGCCGCGCTGAACGCGCCCGGGTGGTGCGCCAAGAGCGACAGCGGGAAGAGCGTGTCCGTCTCGTTCTTGAGCGCGATCGGCGTCCCGACGTCCGGGAAGATCGCCCGCAGGCATGCATGGAGGTCCTCGACGGGCATGTCGGGGTGCAGGAGCATGTCCCGCACGACGCCCCGGCGGCTCACGGCCACGCGGCAGACGCGGCTGATGTCCATGGGTCGGTCGTCGGCTGCTTCCTTCAGCTTGGAGGCTTCTCGGGTCTTCTTCGCGGGCCGGGGCTTGGACTGCGGCTCGCCCTTCATCCGACTCCTTCGCTCCTCGGTCAAAAGATCTACTGAGGAGGCGCCGGATAGCGCGACCGGATACCGCAGCATTTGGGGTGCCGAGCCCATGGATAGAAACACACCACTTTATGGCCAATCTTCTCACTCGCTTCGATGAAGACAGGGCGACTGACCAGGGATCGCCGCGATGGTGCGGGCTATGGCCTTGCTTGGCGATAGACACCATGTTGTTTCATGCAATGCACGTGCACTTCCATGACCGCGTGCATTTTGCAAGGTACGAGCGCGTGTGGAATCCACTTGGGTAAGGTGTTTTTAGCCGGCTGGGAAAGCCGGCTCGCGTGTCTTTCTGGCTGCTTTCGAGAAGCAGATGGACTTCGAGACGCTTGCACTCGCGACGTGCGTCAGTCGGCTCCTCCGGCGCCAGTAGCACGCCGTAGCAATGGTAGCATTGTTGGATGTGGATGCATCGCCGAAGAAGCCTTCAGCTCTTCCACGATTCCCACAAGAACCAGCACACCCGCATACTACTACACGACAGGATGGTCCGACCACCATGCAGTCTGACGTTTGACGATCCGAGATGTGACATGGACGACGACGACAAGGTCGACTACCAGCGGTGGCACACGATCAGTCACAAGCGCACGATGAGCATCCTCGTATCAATGGCCTCTCGCGCATCGACACCATGCGCGACAAGCGTAGGACATGTACTAGGCTAGGTGCTAATGCCGAGCGGCAAGCGATCGCCAAAGCCCTTTCTGCTACTTGCATCTTGCTGGCTAGAAGGAAATGGCTAGCTATCGCGTTGGAGTTGGCAGCACGGCCACCTCTGGTTCGGATATGAACTCGTCGCAAGCAAGGGCTCGTTGTTGCCACCCTTTTCATGGGCGCCAAGCGAGGCGGCGAACAAGATTTCGTGCCAGCGGGAGCAAGCCGAACGAGTCTGCGAGCGTGTGACGGGTTGGCTTGAAGGTCGCTCTTGAAGGCCCGCGCCGCCCAGATGGTGTACTCAGCCCCAGCTTCGATAATTCAGGATTATCGAACTGCCCATCATTTCCAACGACCGGTTGCATTTCCCAAGATGCGTCGCCGCGGGTCGTGCATGTACTATGCCGACGCGGGCCTCCTCGCCGTCGGCAACCTCATCACGATCGACGACTGGATCCTCGACCGCGACCGCAGCCACTGCAGCGTGTGCGTCCAGCAGTTTCACGCGTTCAAACGGCGCCACCACTGCCGGACGGTACGAAGAGACCAGGCACCTGTCCGAAGCTCATGCTCTTGCTGTCTAGTGCGGCGAGGTAGATTCAATCCTGCCCTCTTCTCCAACGCAGTATCATCTCTGCCCACAGGTCATTTGCAGTCGCTGTTCCAAGCACCGCAAGCTGCGCCTCGTCGAGCTCAACGTCGACCTCACGGCGCGCATCTGCGCCATCTGCGTCACAGCGGCGACGCTTGCAGCACGCGACGTGTCGGCCGCGCCGTTGCGCCCGACGCTTCTCGAGACGCCGTACGGTCCTTCTCTCACATTGCCCTTTGGAATCCAATGGTATCGGAAGGTCGTCGCCCGTGTTTGCCGTGCCCGTGCTGCCGTGGGACGACGCCAACTTGGCCACGTGGCGCCTCGAGGTCGCGCGCCAAGCCGACACGCTCCAACCGGATCAAGACGACACGCTCAAGCTGCTCGTGCACCTCGTCGCGACGTCGCTGCGCTGCCCGATCGTCTTTTTAGGGCTTTTGGACCCAAGCGGCCTCCACATCCAAGCCAGCCTCGGCCTCGACCCGTCCACCGACAGCCTCGTCCAGTTTTGTGCGCCAGTGTGGCGCCACAATGCGACACTCGTGCTCTCCGAGACGGACGATGCGATGCTGCGCGACCAAGGCCTGCGGTACTTTGCAGGCACGCCAATCGTCGTCGAAGGCCTCGTGCTCGGCGCACTCGTCGCCATGGACATGGAGCCCCATGGCAGTACCAACCTGAGCCAGCGGAATACGCTCGAGTCGGTCGCGCGGATCGCCGCCGAAGTCCTCGAGCAGCGCGCAAAGGTCGACTACAGTCCATCCCACTCTCTCGCTACTCTCTGACACCACAGACAACGATGTTTTGTAGGAAGCGAATCATCACGACGCGACCACCGATCTCTCGCTCGACGTGCCCGAGAAGAGCGAATGCGAAGAGGATGCCGGCGATGGCGAAGGCACGGCGCCCTGCACACCCATGGTACGACGACGACGACGACGTGCGTCCACTTAACATGCCATGGCTAGAATGAGTTTCAAAAGGCGCTTTACGCCTCGTCGCCGCGCGTCACACGCTGCAGCGACTCGAACCAAACGATCGAACTGCCGTCGTCGGCGCAGCAAATGCCAGCGTACGAGGACGCCGTCGAGTCGATGCTGCAATTGTACCGTATCTTGCACGGGTGCTCGTGGGAGCCGACCAGTGTCGTCGTGGCCGATCGCCGCGTCCAGTTTCATACCTTCCACGAACGCTACCAGCACGGATACATCAAGGCGACGCGCGAGCTCACGTCGATGCCAGGCAGCATGTCGTGGGCGACGCTCGTCCAGCTTCCGCAGATGCACATCTACAGCAACTGCCTCGCGCAGTATGTGAGCCACCAGCCCATCGATGGTCACACGACGCTGCACAACGTCGTGTTTCAGCCAGGTACCCGTCATCCTCGCCGCCACCGCCGCCTGTGGTAATGAAGTGCGCTAGGCATTTCGTGGACCCGCGCCAAGCAGTACCCATTGCTCACGCACGCGCGCGACTACCCGAATGGCGCGGCCGTCTACCTCGGCATGCAGCTGCGCGACGACCTCGTGCCCGAGTTTTGCTTTGGGTGGATGCTAGGCCCGAGCGACGACGATGGCCGCGCCAAGGTCTCGGTCATTGTGCCGCAGCACCGCGAGATCCACGAAGCCAATATGATTGCGACGTGGCTCGACCAGCTCCAAGATGTGAGGATGCTCTATCCTCTGCACGGTCATTCATGCATATGTAGCTGGCGCACGCACCGCGCGAGCAGCGAGCAAGGTCCGTTGATATGTCCTCTTCGCACGAGGTTGTGGCATCCCGGCCCGCCCGCGCCAATACGACCGAGAGCCGGCCCGCGACCGAAGCTTTCTTCTGGACCCTCCTCGAGCAGACGATCTCGACCCAGCGGATGCTCTCGGAACGCCAATCGGACCTCATGCACACGATGGAAACCAACGGAAGTCGCCTCCACCAGCTCACGCAGGCGGTCGAGCGCGTCGAGTGGCGGCTCGACCAGCCTCTCTAATCCTATGAACGCGTGTACTACCGTGTTTCCGCCTGCGTGTTGTCGACCACTGGGATGGGCTTGTATGGTCGCCTTGCAAGCATGTTGC